CAGGAGTTTGTGTTAATTCCAAGCATTTCTCAATTGATATCATGAAAGTCTCGGTATAATTAATACTAGTTATAAATGAACTTAAAACTAATGTTATATTCAACGAGTAATTGATGGCGAGTGCGGCCAAACCGGGCGACAACTGATCCCTGAAATTTATAGCTGCAATGACCGCCACAAACACTATCAATGAGCCCAAGAACTTGAGCCTAATCTGTAGCCACTGTTCGCCACAAGAACTTAAATAATAACATTGATTGTTAGCGTCTATCCGTCGGTATGACTGGCGGACAAACCAGTGGTCGGCGCCGAACGCCCTAATACTTGCCGTTCCGTTGAAAGTCTCACTCAAATGACTTATAATCGGTGATCGGGTCTCGGATTCAAAACGCTTGATCTGTCGGGAGCTCGAGATGAACACTCGTTGACACATAATATACACTATAATAATGGGTCCGATGGCCAGCAGTACTAATGGTGTCTCCAATGATATCATTACCAACGAAAGGATTACCACAAAGAAGTTGCGGAAAGCTCCGGTCAACACATAGACAATCTGGCCGTCAATGATATCCATCTCATTAGAGAATCGGTTCAGTAATCGTCCGATTGGTGTCGTGTCTGTTGTGGAGGAATGATAATTATTAACAAGTTCTATAAAATTTAAATAACTAAAACTTTAAGTTATATAGTTTTACTGAATAATAGTGATAACATTTTACTGACCGAAGTAAGACATGGGCGCCCGAACCACACGTGCCATCATCTGGTTGTGTAGCACTTGACCCGCCCGTACGCACCGCAGCCGTAGCCATAACTGTGCGATAATGAGAGCAATCACTTCGGCCCCACCGATGGCCGCGTAGACCCATAGCCGCTGATCTCGTAGAGCAGTATTGTTGGCCAGTTGTGGGTCGAGCGCGTCGTTTGACCACTCGCTCAGCCATAGACCCGACGCCGCGTTCGCGATCGTTACACCAATGAACGCCACAAAAATGGCGGTTAAACTGATGGCACCGATGAGTCCGAAGTATTTCTTATAGACACTCATTTTGATGCCTCCTTTGGCCGACACTTCTTTGTCTATGAGTTTGCCTTTACTTTCATCAGACAATTCTTGAGTTTTATCTATGGGTTTGTGGTCTGTATTTGTATCACTCGTCGATACACTTCTTGAGAAACACTTTGTGTATACAGAACTGTCCTCACTATTAGTAGATCTGACGGACAATTGCTTTTCTATCAATGGTTTCACAGTTTGTTTCAGTTTTGCCAGAATTTGCATCTCTTTCTCATCGATGTCTTCGGATTCCTGTTTAACGACATATTCGGCAACAAATTCAGCGAATTCTCCACTTTTGGCCATCAGTTCATCAAATTAATGGTTTCACTGTTTGTCTCAGTTTTGCCAGAATTTGCATCTCTTTCTCATCGATGTCTTCGGATTCCTGTTTAACGACATATTCGGCAACAAATTCAGCGAATTCTCCACTTTTGGCCATCAGTTCATCAAATGATCCGAAATCACAAACGGATCCCTCTTTTAAGACAATTATTTTGTCCACTTCTG